AACATAGAGTAGCCCCAATGCTGGCTTATCGGAGCCTGTGAGGTGGGTGTCCCAATTGTCCCAATAGCTGTCCTTCATTTCCCGGTGCTCAAATATGCGATTTTAGGATTCGTTCTTCTGACTATACTGAGAAAAGCTGAAGCAAGGGTAGGTCGTTGGGAGGGGGGACCGACACCGTTCCCACAGGACGATCGCACTTGATGGGTCGTGTCTCTTGTCCCTTGAGTTTTTGACCTTCTACTTGACCAACAGCCTCATCGAAAGTGAGTTCTCCGTCTTGTCCTCCTAGTTCACGAACTGAGCCAGGTATAGACTCACCTGGATATCTGGCCATAGCCCAAAACACTGGGATACTCACTTGATCTGAAAAGCTGTTTCGATGTGATCAAGGCCTGGCATGAAGCGTAGTAGCACTTCATTCATAGCATGTTCTCACAGAAATAACGAAAAGGCAATTTCATAATTAAGATAAGAGAGATCACCACCTGAAGATTGAACGATAGTTCTCAAGTACGAGAGAGTTAAAAAAACAGAAAAAGTGCACGCCCACAGTCCCCCGGACTCTAGATATATGTAGGTATATATATAGATATATATAGATATATTTAGATATATATATATATATAGATATATATATATATAGATATATATAGATATATATAGATAGATATATATAGATATATATAGATATATATAGATAGATATATATAGATATATATAGATATATATATAGATATATATAGATATATATAGATATATATAGATATATATCGATATATATAGATATATATATATATATATATCTATATATATATATATATATAGATATATGTAGATATATGTAGAAATATGTAGATATATGTAGATATATGTAGATATAGATAGATATAGATAGATATAGATAGATATAGATAGATATATATAGATATATATAGACATATATAGACATATATAGACATATATATATATACACATATGCAATGCTTATAGGACTTCAGATATTCTTGTTTAGATTCCCAGGCGCTTCGGAGATCCGCAGGGTTACGGGAGTTTTTTGGCGCAAGCGGCCGTCGGCCGTGATGGTCGAGTTTCGAGGGGCGGTTTCAGGATGTAGTTTAGGGTTTAGGGTTTAGGGTTTCGGGTTTAGGATTTCGGGTTTCGGGTTTCGGGTTTCGGGTTTCGGCGGGGTTGCGGAAGGCCTCAGTGACCCGGTGCTTTTGTGAGGATCAACCCGCGGGTCATGGACTACATGGACGAAGACTTCTATGCCGATTATCCATTCATCAAGGAGAGATCGGCTAGTGAAGCTAGGGCCACGCAAGGGCACTCCGATCAGGTGGGGTGTGGGTAGTATGATGGCCTATTTCGATTCAGATGCCACCGACACCCTAAAATCGCCCCCCCCCAGCATGACAAGTTAAAGGTGCGGGGTCTGTCGGGGTTAATAGCTTCGTAGTAGAGTAGATAACATTTAACCTTTCGGGGTATCAGAATCCCGAAATATTCTCCAGGTTAACCACCACTTTTTCCAGGCTACTGGACAATTAAGATAGGAGTTGAAGGACTATTTTACGGTTTCGAGTGGTGGGGTCTTGCCTCGGCCCTTCAGGAGCTGAGGCTCCACGCGCAGGCCCTGGGCTATGGCGGCGCGCAGACCACTTGCTTGCAGTTCAGGGTTCAGGGTTTCGGGTTTAGCATGTAGGGTGTAGGGTGTCATTAGGGTGCAGGGAGGAGGGTGTTGGGGGGGGGGGAGGGGTGCGCGTTTGCATCTTGTAACTCAGGGATCCTGGGTTTAGGGTTGAGGGTTTCTTCCTATTCCGTAAGCGTTTTCCAGGTGAAAGGACATCCCACGCACAAAACAATCTTGCATGCCGCGGGGCGTAGTTACCGCGCAAGTCAGGGGGGATGTCTGTAAGTCCGGTCCTCTGGAAACCCTAAACCCTAGACCCGAAAACCCTCATCAGCTTCCGGTCAATGCTGTACTGGCCCACCGAATCCCGAGCCCGAAATCCTGAACCCTTCTTCATCCCTAGACCCTCCATGCCCCTCCTGGCCCCTTCTCAAGATCTCAAGACGAAGCTAACCAACCTATAGCTCCCTTAGGATTTGAGTGCTGGTTTGGAAGCAACGTTTCTTAAACGTTTCTATTCCTTTATTTATCCGCAAAAAAATATGAACCCAATAAATTCCCTGAAGCCGAAAAATAGCTTATAAATACACCACAAACCCACCCTTTGAAAACCCTAAAAAAACCCTAAGTAGACCCAACAATTACCCCGAAATCCCCTATAAAATACCCTCTAAACCCCAGCCCCCTGCGTCTGAAACGATCTCTGCATCCTTGGGCCACCCAAGGATCAACATGGGCAAGGCGTCGCTTTGGGGGAGGGAGGGGGTAGGGGGTTCAGGGTTCAGGGTTTAGGGCAGCCGTTTCCCAAACTCGCCTTCCCCAAGCTTGAACTTGAGGCGAGGGGTTTCGAGGTCTAGGGTTGAGGGGGAGGATGCGCTTTCGGCCGATTGGTAGGATCGCCACTGAGATCCCTGCGGTGTGAGGGCTTGTGCCTACACCCGAAGGTCTAAGCCCTGCAAGATCCCCTAAACCCCGAAACCCCTAAACCCCCTAAACCCCTAAACCCCTAAACCCCCAAACCCTAAATCGAGTACCCTCAACTCAGTGACAACCCTAAACCCTAAGCCCGAATCTCGCTTGCAAAGGCGAACCCCGGCTTTTGGGGTCGTGGCAAGCGAAATCCAGCAATGTTGCGGCAAGAGCCCCCTCCTCAAGTCAAGGGTTAGGGCTTCGGGTTTAGGATTTAAAAGCGTAGGGCGTCTCGGATTTGGGGTTTAGAATTTAGGGTGAGCCCTAGAGCTTCAAGCCCTAATTTTGGGCTTAGGGTTTCGGACTTCCCGGATTTTGGGTGTCCTTTCTCCTTGTTTGGGTCCTTTTTGTTGTCGGGGTTACAGGTTTAGGGTTTCAGGATCCAGGGTCTAGAGCTTAGGGTTCGGCAAGGGCTGTCTCTCCCCTCTCTCCCTCCCTCTCGCGGCTTCTTTTTCCTTTTATCTTTGTTTCTCTCTTTCTCTTTGTCTCTCCCTCAGTTTATCTTTTTTTTTTGTTCGCTCTCTCTCTCTCTCTCTTTCTCTCTCTCTCCCTCTCTCTCTCTCTCTCTCTCTTTCTTTTCTCACTCTATCTCTCCCTCTCTCCGTTCTCTCTCTTCGTGTTTCTCTTGCTCTCTATCTCTCTATCTCTCTATGTCTCTATCTCTCTATCTCTCTATCTCTCTATCTCTCTATCTCTCTATCTCTCTATCTCTCTATCTCTCTATCTCTCTATCTCTCTATCTCTCTATCTCTCTCTCTATCTCTCTATCTCTCTATCTCTCTATCTCTCTATCTCTCTATCTCTCTATCTCTCTATCTCTCTATCTCTCTATCTCTCTATCTCTCTATCTCTCTATCTCTCTATCTCTCTATCTCTCTATCTCTCTATCTCTCTATCTCTCTATCTCTCTATCTCTCTATCTCTCTATCTCTCTTTTGGTTTCTTGTGTTTCTGTCTTTCTTTCTCTCGCTCTCTCTCTCTCTCTCCCTCTCTTTCTCTCTCTCTCTCTCTCTCTCTCTTCTCTCTCTCTCTCTCTCTCTCTCTGTCTCGTGCAGCTTCAAAAACTCTTGTGTGGTCTTGAAATGTAGAGACGCCGTTATAGCTCTGCCCGTTTTTTCTCAATTCCTCCTCGAACCCCCCTTTCTTGAACACCGCTGATGCCGGCAACAGCAAACCCGAGAAACCCCAAGAAATTCGAAAGCCCTTCAAAGCGTGAAAACCCACATGGAGTTACCATCCACGCACGTTTGCATTCCCTAGGCCCACCAAGCAATGGCTGCGAAAGAAGAAGAAGATTCTTGGGCTCGCAAGATAGAGGAGTCCGGGTTTTAGGTGAGTCTTGCCCATTTGAAATATAAGGCCGTTCAGAGCTTATCGGCAGGGTTTGCTTCGGGTTTTAAGGGGTCCGAGCTCGAAGTTCTCATGTCTGTTTTTTTCTGGTGCTTTGCGGTTTTCAGGGTTCAGTGCTTAAGGTCTAAAGTATCGGGCGCCTTCCACTTGGGGTTTGGGGGTTAGGTCTGTGGGTCGAATCTGTGAAAGGCGTGGTCGGGCGATTATTCCATTCTTCTACGCGACCCCCCATGATGCCAGCAACCACAAAGAGTAACCATTTTTTACGGAGTAACAGGCGGATTCCCTACCCTAATCCCTAAACCCACAGGATCTTCTGGAACTGCGTTTGGGGCCCAGAATTTCGATCGGCGGATCGACGACCCATTTGATTAAGCAGGAGCCACAGCCCTTGAAAGCGCGTTCTGCTTGAAACTGGGTAGCGTGCTCGCGCACCAGAATGCCTAAACCCGAAGCCCTAACCAGCTCATCCCATAGAGTTCTCATGAACCCGAAACCCGAAACCCGAAACCCGAAACCCGAAACCCTAACTATAAACCCCAAGCCCCATACTCTCAGAATCCCGAGGATGATTGAGGAGTACGAGAGGCCAGCGGAGATCGCCCCAAGAGCGGTTCAGGGTTCAAGGGCTTCAACGGGCTCAGGGGCTCAGGGGCCCACAAAAATCAGGGGTTCAGGGGTTCAGGGTTCAGGGTTAGTTTAGGGTTTAGGGTTAAGGGTTTAGGGTTAAGGGTTCAGGGTTTTTAGAGTTTAGAGTTTAAGGTTTCGGAACACTTGCTTCGAGGCATGCTTTGGTGGTCGGCGCGTCCTAAAGTCCTAGACCCGACAACGTCGCTTCGACTCCCATCCCGAGTACCATCTGACAAGCTGCGCATGAGGTGCAACCTTTAGCCTTGAAGCTCACAACCTTACCCCTTGACCCTGTATAAGGCCTACCCGAAACCCCTATGCATGGCCTGAAATCCTGAAACACTACGTACCGGAGGCCTTAACCGAATCAGATCAAGAATGAACCCCCGCGCTCGCCAGTCGAACTGGCGAAACGGCGTGATTGCGCCAGAAGCGGCTGAGCCCTTACCTAATGGGGTAGTTGTCTTAATGTTGCTCCTACCCTACTCCTCATTCCCACCAGTAGACGATGCCTAAACCCGAGAAAAAGCTTTCACCTGCAGCTTCGATCTGACACAGGCGCGTTCATGCCCGCAAAAGAGCCTGTACAGGTCTTCGGGATGCTGAAGTTAGGTTATAAGGGATGCTGAAGGCGGGATAGCACGCTTATGCAGCTGGTTCACGATTCACATCATGCAAGGGAGGAGACGTTTCTGTGGTCTGCCCAACCTGCCATGGGGGGTGTTTGAACTAAGTCCATTGCGTCTGCCGATTGCTCAAAAGTGACATCATGTTGCTTGGAGCATGGGCCAACAGTAACATAGGGAACGATGTCATGGCTGCGCAGTACCGTTTCAAAAAGAAGGTTCATCTAGTTTACTCAAGTTGTTCATGTCGGGCGTAGGACCTTGCCTTCACACCTTCTGGCTCCCGAATGAAACCTTGACCTTGACCTGAAAACTGCACCATTTTCAGCAAAGGCCTCGCAAATGAGGTTACAAATGAGAGCATTCGCCTTTCACCCATGGCGTGTGCCTCGAATTGCTGCGGAATGGGTGCGACTGCAAACGGCTTTGCATGCCTGAAGAATCAGACCTTCAAGCGCAGGTCTCATGGAAGATAAGGGCAAAACATCCAGGAAGAGCGGATACCGAAGCCAAACACAGGCTACAACAGGCATACATCAGGACTCATAGGTCAAGAGTTCGAGGTCTCAGGTTACATGTCAAGTGTCTTCAGGGCTGCTTGTGCCAATTCTCGGGTTTTTGCCGGTGTGGACCTCGCTTGAAAAGCACCCAGGTGAGTCAAACCAGCTTGCCGGCACTCAGCCAAACAGTGACCAGCCGAACTGGCGCGGGAAGCTTGGGATTCTCACAACGCGCGGGAGACCAAGCTGCAAAAAGAGGTGAAGGTTTAGGTTTGTCATCCAGCATCACGGCACAGCTGTGGTCTCAGCTTGCGAACGTCCACATCGCCGCGTTCGCACGACCATCACAAGTTGGGGGAACCTGCGGCTTTAAAATGTGTTCGCACGTTTCATCTCGCGACTGGGGTTTGGTATCTGCACGTGAACACGAAAAAAACGTGCGCTTCACGTCCAACCGGCGTTCAAGTTGAAAGTTGCAAAGAATGCAACAGCGGAATACAACAGCGACGCGACAACCGGGTCGGTGCTTTCGTTGGAGGCATGTGCATCCAACGTCGCCGGCAACGTTTTTGTGCAGGCGGGCACGCCTGGAGGACATCAGGTGGGCCATGCTTTGCAAAGACAAGCTGAGGCAGCTGCCGGAGTGGGTCGTGCCGACGAGCTGCACGACGAGGTTTTAGCGTTTGGCTGTTCCATTGCCGAAAGAGCTCGGCTGCCCAACCTTGCGGCGAATCGACGGCAACGTCGCGGCACAGCACTCCGTCGAGCCCGCACGGCGCGTGCAATCGTCAGGGTTTTCGACGGGTGCAGAATATGTGCTCATGCCAGCCTCTGCCTGGCTCTCCGACTCGATCGCCTCGCGCGAAGCTCCCTGACAAGGACGAGCTCGCCCTGCACCAAGATCGCGACCCCCCCGAAGTTTCTTTTCTATTTCGCGGATACCCACCCCCTCGGGCCACGCCCGGGAGCAGAGGAGCACTAAGCTTGTGCTCGGTTCCATGTGCAGTAAAATGCTGTGCTACAAATCAGTGAAAGGCCAGCTCACGGAAACATCGATTCCAGCACTCAGGCTTAGCTGCATTGCGCATCAACGAAGGTCCAGACGCCTCAGTATTCAGTGTACGACTTTTTATCACCATACAGCCGGTTCAGCCGTCGCAGTTTGTGTGAACTTTTAAGCACTGAAAACCCAGCCGGCTAAGCGAATTCCGGCCGACCCGTGGCAACATGTGTTATTCAGGTGTACCCCACCGGTGCAACGAACATTCAGCCAGCTCACAGACAGAAACGTCGATTCCAATACATGGTGCACAAGCTGGCATTTCACAATCAAAGGCGACGAAGTATACCATAAGCCACCACGATAGCGCATCAAGAGTAACATGCCTCGCCGAAGTTTTGCATCTCACCATGAGGGATTTGGGGAGCGGCCAGCTCACGTGTCATCTCCGTAAAAGTCACTTCAAAAAGATATATATCAGGCCAAACCGATCAGGACGGCGTATGGGGGCGGATGGCACACAGCTATCGGCAAAGGCCGTCGAACCCCCCTAGCCTTCGTCGAAACCCTTGGCCTTCGTCGAACCCCCCTCCCGGCCCTTGTGGCCTTCGTCGAACCTCCGGCCTTCATTTAGCCTTCGTCGAACCCTCGCGTTTTTTTTCGGGCTTTGTCTTGGCCTTTTGTATCGGCCTTCGTCGAACCCCCCCCCCCCCCCCCCTCGTCGAACCTCCCGGCCTTCGTCGAAACTTCGCCCGGCCCCCCGGCCTTCGTCGAACTTCGTCTCGGCCCGTTGGTATCCCGAGTCTTCGTCGAAGTTCTCCGGCCATCCTGCTCTTCGGCCATCCTGATGTGTTTTCCCCTTAATATAAAAAAGAAAGTCAGCTCATGCAAAGTGCCTCGCCAACGGCCTTCCCCTCTGGAGCGGCGCCGAATTGGCGGTCGACACCACGCTTGTCTCTGCCTTGGACTCGGCAGGGCAGGCTCGCCGTCACCAACGCCTCTCAGCCGGCGCCGCCCCGCGTGTGGCCAGCAAGGTCAAAGAGCAGACATGCCCCGAACTCTTCCGACCGTGCTCGGGATTGAGCTCGGAGGGCGTTGGAGCGAGGCAGCCCAGTTCATCCAACTCTCGCTCGTGGCAGCTCCCGCGCAGCTCCTCCCCTGCAGCGCTCCAGCGCCAGGGCCCCCTACGTCGCTCGCTGGTCTGCCATCCTGTCCGTCGCAGCCGCACGCGCGCTCGCCGCTCACTGCCCCTCGCCAATGCGGCCAATGTTGATGGGGAACCCTTGGAGTTCAGCGACCTCTTTGGCACTGCCTCCTCCGAAGCAGCGGACCCCCAGTCCCGAGCCGCTTGCTTCTCCGCACTTGAAGGGCTTTGGACCACCTCTCCCAAGCCTGGACTCCCGGAGGCGTGTGGTGCACAGGGACCGCGGACCGTCATGCAGCAGCAAAAAAGAGCGGGAAACAAAAATAAAAAAACATGCCTGCCACAATCTGCCACATCTTGATTTGGTGTCCTTCCCTGCACGGCATACTTCATACCCAGAATAGCACCGTCCCTCACGCAGGTCGTCCATTGGGCTGAAGCATGTCCATTGGACACCGACGGACATCCACGTCATGTATCTTTGTGAAAGGACGTGATGTATCTTTGTGAAAGGACTGGCCATGACTGGCCCTCGGACACATTCAAAGCACACGGCAGCGGGTCCCACATCCCAAACAGTTCCTGTGCACGTTTTCCCCCGAGGGGCCGTCATGCAACGCGAGCTTTTCGAGTTATAAGTCTAGCTCAACCATCTGTCGAATTTTGGCCGTGCGCAAATCCAGGCTAGTATCGGTGACATACTCCAAATACATTCGCAGCTCACGCAACGACATGTCCCTTCGGGCAGTAAGGATCGCGACAGTTCGTTGCTGATGAAAACATGTCTGCCAGCTTTAAGCTCGCTCGGCAGAACACATCCCCCCTCCACACATAGTCATGCTTTTGCCTCGACGGGCGCAAGCTTGATTCAAATCGAGCACGGCGTTTCGACGAGTGCCGCGACCTCATTCCTGAACAACGAGACGGCAATGCCCTCGCCCGTGAGGCCGTGGCTTTGCGTGTGCAAGCCGGGCTGACCGGCATGGTATTGATGGCCATTTCAACCACTCGCCACAGGGGCAAGCCGCTGCCCACCAGTTCAATCCGAAGGCCTTTGCATTTTAGGGCGGTCCCACCTAAGCTCCATGCGCATCGACGTCGCCGCCATCCTCGTAACATCCCGGAACTGTTTTCGTTATCCTATGTTATCCTCGTCACTGGCATCGTTTTGAATGTTTGCGTCGCCATCCTTGTTACTGTCATGCGGTTTGGACATGGGGGTTCGCGAGATGCAACACGGTAGTGTCTTGAGGACAGGCGGCACGAGCGTCGGTTCGAGAACCATAGTGTGTATTACCGACGTAGTCCGCCGAAAGCGTTTGGAGCTCTGGTGGCCGGCAGGCGCAGTGGACTTGTTGCATAAAAGCAGCACGCGGAACATCAAATGGTACCACTGCCGTTGCTGCTTGTGTTTTCCCTTGCCCAGGGATGGTTCGGGGAGAATATGGAGGATGTGGTCTGCCGGAATCCAAATCATTGAGGTCAGGATGGTCGGGGTTCGAAGTCTTCAGAGCCATATATGTCTCCGTACTTGCACTTAGGAAGGTGGAAAAGCATGGTTTTGACGATATGAAATGGTGGTTCGCTGCTGGAGAAACACGTTGTCGGGCGGCATGGTGCTTTGACCAAGGGTCAAGGTCAAGCCTGATGCCCGAAGGCGGCCCATTTAAGGCGCAGGCAGTGAAACAATCAAATGCGACGACTAATTGCGCGGCTCATAGCTTTGTAACGAAATGAATGAAATCATCTGTTTGTCGTAACCACCATTTTGAATCAACAGCTGCGGACTTCCAATTTCCCAATTGACGCCAACGACAATACATCATGAGTGCATCTTCCCAATTGCTAGGCTGCCTCCCAGCCTGAACACGTCGGGGGTGCCATTCCAACACACGAATCACCAATCGATCACGTGGCAAATTTGCAATGTAAGTGGCCAATTTCCAGTAACTTGCCAATGACTGTTCCCTCCAGTTTGTTAACGAGCTATCATGGCAGGCATTCCGAACTTTGTTGTTCCAAGCATGAAGAGTTTCATGCCACGGGTCATCCCATGAAATGTTTCCAGGTGGTCCCACCACTGCACGAAGCAACCTCTTGTACTCAACATCCATCCGGTGCAGGTCGGGTTTGTGAATCGTTCTGTGTCCC